TCATATAAAGTCACTGTCTCAAAAATGACTGCTTTGAAAGAGAGAAAAATACTTGTTATATTTATATATTATAAATGTTGCCCAGAATTCAACCTCATTGTCAAACTGTCCAGTCCCTTGAAACTAGTTCTGCAAAGGCTAAGACAGCAGAGTTGGTGTATTTTACTGAGGAGAGGGGTGGACCATTGTGTAATGCTGAGCTAGCTAGGCCTTAACACTGCTCAGTGAGTTAAGAGATGAGGTAAACTTAATCTGGATTTCAGTGTACATAGTAATTAGCTACATCTGCTACTGTACATTTTTGCTTCCTGTTTAGCAATGTGGGAAAATGAAGATACACATTCCCTGGGTTGCATGAGAAAATAACAGTATCTTATTCACTGTTGAACCCGTGTATAGGCACATAGTAGATACTCACATGTATTTCATGAATGGATGCATGTTACTAAGATGTTAATTTTGGGTTAGGCACCTACATATGCTCTCACATTGCGCCCATATCCAAACAATTCTGTAAAGTAGGTATTGATATACCTGTTTTACAGATAGAAAGACTGAGGCTCAGTCAGATCAAATAACTTGCCAAACCTGCCAAGATCACAAGGTTAGTAAGTTTCCATTATACAATGACAATTCTAAGAATTTCATTTGCTAATGAATGATATAATCTAAATAAACTGAGGACAAGCATAGCATGCTTGCTGAAAATGAAAATAATAGATCATACATCAGCCTCATTATCCATCCTCCCTATCCCTCCTTGTCCTAAAAAGCACTGAGTGGAAGGCTTACACCTAATACAGACAATAAAGTACTTCACTTGTTTTAATTACAAAATGTAAGAAAAATTTATTTTATATATTCCAATCCAATTATAATTTAACTAAGAGATGTGTTCAGATGTCACATTTTATCATCAGAAACTTTATTACTAAGACTAGGAGTGACATGGGAGAGTCAAGATGTAGGAAAGGTGATTTAATATGTAAAATTAGCTGTGAATGTTAACTAAAATACAGATGTGGCTAATTAAAATTACCTTATGTTGAATCTGAACTTCTACTTCCCCTTTATGTATGAAACTCAACAATGATGTTTTTGAATGAGGGTACTAAAAACCCTCAATAAGCCTTTAAGGCCAGGTTTCTCTTGTATCTGCATGAAGCCTCAAAATATTTAAAACCCCTGATAAATGTTCCAATGCCATCTCCACAAGCATGGCTCTTTATTCCCAGTGAGGGCCTGTTCATGGGTCTCCAAGGAACATTCATGATACGGTGCTAGCAGTCGGTGCCAATGGACTACCTCTGCAAGGCGTCTCACCTCCCCAGGAGGAGGAAGAGGTTAGGGAGTAGAGGGGGTGAGAGCACACAGGAGCAAGCAGGTGAGAGCAAGGAGACAGAGAGAAGGAGCAGTGCGGGAGGATAAAGGCAGGCCAGAAGCCAAACACTGTCACTTCTCTCAGCGAGCTGGTGTGTCACTCACCTGGGGAGTGCTGCTAGAGCCAGGCATAGGTGAGGGA